AGGTAATATGGGAGGGATTTGAAATAGATTCTCAAAGGACAAGAGTATCAGATGGGGAGCTGGGATAGAAATGGGGCAGAGGGAAGAGAACTGGTGATAAGACTGAAACTGTAAGAGGATGTGGGATGGGAAAACTATAAATGCTGAACAAATACATTGGAATTGAGAACCACTCACATAAAGAGAAGCTGGAGGCATATGTGAGAAAAGCTGGCCAGAGAGGAAGCAATAAACTAGCTGGGCAAAAGTTGAAAATGGACTCTGAGAATAAAGCAGTAGGAATCTACTAAATATGGAGGCATCTGTTGGCTGAATCTAGGCATGGAGAAAATCTGAACAAAGAGCTGGGAATTGATAGCTCAGGCTAGCAGAGAAAGGAACGTACAGTGTGGGTGAGCAGGAAAAAATGGGAGAGGGAATATCTAGAGAAGAAATCTAAAATTATGTTTCTGAAAGCAGACACCCAAAACTCATAAATTTAGTTAGGTAAATCTAAAAGAACCCAAACTGATTTGTATATGCAAATGCCCAGCTCAGCACCCAAACATTTTTCACTTTGCATAAGGCAGAGGAATTGAAGCATTCTGCACAAAAGGCACCAGTGGTCCAGGGGCTTCTTATATTGAGAGCGCTGCTGCTCTGCTGCTGGGGAGTTAAAACAAGCTCAGAGGGAGCCCTTAAGGCACAGAAACTGCATTCCTTCCTACCACAAAGCCGCTTCCCCAATCCTTTGCATAACCTTGGTCTCCCCAATACCTCCTCCCACCCTTCTTTCTCCTCCACCACCTCCTGCTAGCCTTATCTGCTCCACCACATCCTCATTCCTCTCCTGTCCATAGACTGCTCTGCCCATTCTCACGTACTGCTTTGGCTCCCCAATAGCAAAAGGTAACACTGTGGGGAACTAAAGGCATGAAGAAGGAGGATGTGGCTGGATGAGTGGAGAGAATGGAAAGAAACACAGAATGGAAAGAAAGTTGCCCTGAAAAACCTGATCTAATAGGCCTGCTTCAGGTAGGGGTTTGGATGGGGTGACCTCCAAACGTCCCTTCCAACCCAGGTTGCTCTGTGATCCCGTGTGCTGATGTGAGGTGTTGGGCTGAGGCAGACATAGATGAGTTATGAGTGAGGAAATGAGGAAGAATATCTCAGCCTACTGATGTTTTCATGTTCTTTGGAAGAAGTTCACGTTCCCCAGCTCTTGGAATAGGACTCTGATTATTTGGTTTATATACAGACCTCTCTAATAGCACAAGCTCAACTGAATTGCAGCGTGCAAATTTGTTAGAGAAAGGTGAAACTTGGTGAAGTTTTAGCTGCTGGCACAGTTGCTTTAAAGAGCAAGCTTTTTGTCTGCTTTGCTGTAATATATTAGTGGTTCATTACTGTAGCGTTTTTATTACAAGCACTACATTTTTAGTGTTTTAGGTATATGGGTATGCAAAACTATGTAAATCTGATTTGGGCATTTCTTAGAGCAAGGGAAGGTGGTGAGATAGCAAGTTAACACACAAAATAAATTAGAAATAAATGCAAATTCTTGGAATTGGTACCACAGTCTGTGTCATATCATAGTCTTTCCTATACATTTTCAATACCCAAGTGTGGGATTTCCATTGCAAACATGCTGTTCTGGGCATTCTCAAATAAAAATGCTTATTGTGTTGTCATCAGTAATAAAGCCTTTGCTATGAATTTACAATGTGGAGCTAGAGCACAAGGAAAATTTCAAGCAACAGTATAAATAGACTGAATTGATCTGTCATTGTTATGAAGCTGGTACTATACTTCAAATTAAACTCAATGATTATGAAGTGAATTTTGTTGTGTGGAGATTTGAATGAGGGAGGAAAAAATGGAAAGAAATGGAAGAAAGGCAAAGAGATTGAGTGATACAAATAGAAAAATAAACTGAGGCAAAAGGCTTACTGAGGAAAAGAAACCTGGCAATGTATAGAGCCTAAGCCCTGTTGTAATCACAAGTGAAGACAAACACAGATTATAAGACTCTGTCAGTGTATGAATCTTGAAATGAGGGTATAGAGAGAAAATTTCATGGAGGAGACAAGAAATCTCAAGCAGATATATTAGGATGTCATACTACCACTGTAAATTATTATAAGCAGATTATCAGTATAGCCAGTGAATTTTTTATAACTTTGATGCCTCTGATGTACAGCTAGAGGGAGTTTAATACATTGTAGGAGCAGTTCAGTATTTTGAATTTAGCTCACTGATAGTTTTCTGAATAATTTTTCCATGAGAGTTGATTAGGAACTATTCAGCAGTGAATAAAGCTGACTTTTAAAGCAGGCTGTAAAGGGCCAAATATAATCTGAATAACCAGCTGTAGTATGAACACTTGCTTTGAAAGAGGATTGATGATATCTAATAGCAGTGGGGCTGCAAAATGTTTCAATGAACTTGTTCTAGTCATGGGTCATCTCTCCAAATAATGATCCCCCCCAACCTTTCTCGAGCACATCTGCCTGTCTAGTACTTTGGCCACCTTCAGAGAGAACAGAATGCTTGCTCCTCTGTAATTTTGCAGAACCTGTGATTTAGTCATATTCATTTTGGTATTTTTGTCTAAAACAGCCGAAGAGCTCCTGCTTGCACGTGCATCTGAATGGGGATAATTCAGATTGCTTAGACAGCCTAGTGTCCCGAGCACTTGGATTGTGTGGCAGACAAACAGTACTCTGGCAGAGAAGTATCATCATTTGGTCTCCTTCACAGCTGCAACACATGGTTATTCACTCTTTATGCCACAGATGAAAAACCTAACCAGAAGCAGATGGGGAGTGAATATTTTTAGAAACAGTACTTCAAAGCATTAACAAGAGGAAGAGAAAAAGTTTTCAGCTTTGGAGATAAAATTTTAAACTTTCTTGCTAAAGAATATTCAATATTACTTTAAAAAAAATTAAATTATTAATAATACTCTTCCCCAAAATATTTTTCTCAGATTCTTCTATTTCCATGTTTCTTGTGGTCAAAATCAGTGTAAAATGCAAATTATTTAATTCAGGTATAAGTAGTTGCTCTAAAGTAACATTTTATAGTAATGCATAATGCTCAAATAGCTCATTTCAAGGTTCATGTTGTTTCTGTTTGAATGTTTATTTTAATTTTGTATTATTTTTCCAGCATCTAATAGGATTTTATGCAAGACTTGCTAGGGAAAGGGAAAAATAGGTCTCATAGATCTTAGAAAGCTTTTTGGTAAGCTTGAAATGGTTTTTGTGATATCCTAAGCATCTCCACAATTAACTCACCAGTTGGCTCTTTTCTGTTATCATAGTTCTCCTGCAAGAGGAAATGATCCTTCTCCTCCAAACTACAGTGTCAGAGAAGGATCAGTTCTGCTTTTGAAGCTGTGTTTTTGATAAAGATATTTTTATGAAGAGATGAATTATTAGTTTACTTTTCTTGAATATCAAGTCTGCAAGTCTGATGAGTGCAAATGTCTTTAATCTCTTTTTAATTCCAGGCCAGCAGTGGTGAGTCCTCATCAGCACCAAGCAGAGAAGTCCTGAGTTTCTGGCTCAGCGAGAAGGAACCTTAATTGTGTCAGTGTTTGGTGTTGCTCTAGTCTTCTGAGAGCTGCCTTCAACATCTTCAGCTTCCATCCTGAAACTTCAATATGGATGCAGATGGAAATATCCGAATCTAATTTAGTGAGTATTACATTTTTTCCTACTGGAATTAAATCCTTCCAGTACAATTTTAGAAACAAAATGTCTTCTTATTTTGACTTATCCTCACCCAAAGTGAATGAAAAATATTTGACATGATCCTCAAAGCACAGTAACTAAAAGTTGGATTACAAAATTTTTAGAAGCATGAAAGATAACTCTGTTAATTTTTGGCACTGACTGATGTATTTATCATGTTCATGAACTGGGAATAAGAATTGGGAAGTAGTACTTTGTGATGTTTTTTAACCAGGATCTTCTTACTTGTTTGGCTCCAAAGAGGCACTGCAGGCCGTGATGTCACCAGATTTTTCACTTCCACAGTGTGAGATTGTTAGTGGAGATAACACTGACTGTGTTTAGATTTAATTTTGAGAACTCGGGTCTGTAAGAAGCTCATCACTTTCAACTATTTCTGGTTTCAGTGAGGAGCAAGCTCTGAAAAATTTCAAGTCATTTAGTGATATTTGGCAGCTTGTACTGCATTTCAATATTGTTAAAAACCCCCCACCCCCTTCTCTTCATTCTCCATATGCCTCATTTCACCTCATCTATTTTGGGAAAGTCATGATGATATTTCCTGATTTTTGAGTGATTTAAACCGTTGAGATATGTTAAATAATGTTAAAGTTAAAATGCTAATTTTCTAACTGTTGCTTGAATTTGGATTTATTTTCTGTGTTTAGATGTACTGGGTTAATTTACCATGGTGTCTCAGGTATTGAATTATCATTTATTTTGCATTTTGAGTGTTATCTATACAGTGCAGTTGTTATTAGTTACTATTAATGGTTTTACAGTAGGGATTGAAATCCACAGTTAAAATGTTGAGACTGTTGTACTGAAATTCTGTAAAGATATGATCAAACACAACCTATTTCCAAGAAAGATTCATAAGCTAGAATCAAGGTATCACTGTGGGAGAAAGCAAGACAAAAGAACAGGAGCAGGAAAATAAGCAAAACCACGGAAGAACATGGTTAATTGTTCTAAAAGGGATGGGAGTACAAATGCAGTTCTTGGTATACATGACCAGAAAATGTTCAACTAGCAGGATTTTCGCTCAGGAAGAAACAGAGAGAAATATATATATATGTATGTATTTTTAAATTTCCTTCAGTACTGCAGTGTCTTTCACAGCAATGTATTTCACCTCTTACTTTTGTTACTGAGTTTGACACCACTGATGATGTCTCCAGGTAAATAAAAAAGTAGCCACAGTTGGATAAGGCCCTACAACCCCTTGCACCTTTTGTTCAGACACCACACAGGAGCTGTATCTGCATAACTGAACGCGTGACATTTGTCTGTGAAGTAATCATTTATTATGCAAACATCAAAACTTCATTATAACTAATTTTATTAAATATGTACATGTTATTACTATTTAAAAGAACGGCTATCATTCCAAGATCTGCAAACTTCTCTCTAGCTCTGAGAGCTGCGGCAGAGCCTGTATTAATGCTAGTTTAAAAGCTGGAAGCTAACGCGGTGTCACTCTGAGTGACACAGCACCACCTCTGGAGGCAAAACTTCATTGGCTGTATTCTTTAGTTACAATACAATCAAAAAAACCCCAAAAAAACCAAAAAAACCAAAAATCTTCCCTGACAACAATATATTTGTACATTGTTTAAATTTCCCAACTCTGTCCAACTTGGAGGATGGAAGCAAAGAATTCTGTCATGATTAGGATTCTCAGATGCTGAAGAAGGGAAGTCGTACCAGAAACATCTGATGATAAAGGCTGTTTAAAGGCAGAGAAGGGGGCACAGGAAGCAAAGAGAAAGATGCGTCCATCTCCTCTGCTGGTATCCAGCCAGGAGCTCTCAATATTTTTCTTGCTCAGGGTCCCATGGCCTCAGTGAGGATAATGCTTCCTATCAGTGGCCCCCCTTCCCATCACCTCTCCACTAAACTGGTAGGTCAGCTTCTTCTTAACTTTCTTGACCTCCCCTGTCTTGCCATAGTTTCTCAAAGCCCGTGCCATCTTCTGGTAGGTCATTTTCTTGCGGTTGCCTTTCTGGATGCCCCAGCGATGTGCCAACGCTTCTTTGTGTTTGGAGGAGAACTGGAAAGTACCTTTCTCCTTGTCCACCCACCAAATGCTGTCCTTCATGTCCCCACTGCGAAGAAGGTCCAGAAGGAACTGATACAGACGTATCTTTTTCTTGCTGCCTGTATGAGAGTCAAAGAAGAAAACCAATGGAGCGTTAGTATTTGAGTGTAGTTCCTGGTGAAACAGCAGAAAGTATCTAAGTATTTCAGCTAGCTTGGGAGATACATAACTTCTTCAGTTTGCAGCATTTGTAACAGTAGACAGTGTAACACTGTGAGGACAAAATATGGGTTGATATACCAAGAAGAAAAAGCAAGAATAAGTAACTCCAAAGGCTAAATTTCTGAAATTTTTTTTGCTGATTTGAAGCTAATTGAAAAACATTGCTAATTCAAAACTAACCTAAACATAATTTTGGCAGGTTATACAGAAGGTGACTCTCAGGTACTGAGAAAAGAGAGCTAAATTTTATTTATTTTTTAAATTGGTTCTTCCTTGACCTTCTTGTCTTGGTTTTCCTGGCTGCTAATAGAAATTGTAGTAGAAATGGCAAAAGCCATTTCCATTCAGGAAGAATGAATAGACAAAGCCAGAGGAGGCAGGGGACTACATTAAAAAATTATGTTTGAGGTAGTTAGGTTGTGAAAGATTAAGAGGACGGGAGAGTGCAAGGAGTCAGGGAAATAAAAGCTTTGGCTGTGGCATAAAATACTGGCACAGCAGTTCTACAGTTTTATTCATTATCGTCATTGTAATATAACACCTGCTCAGTTCATAGCTTGACAAAATCCTTCTGTTTCCACTGACCTGTTTCTCCATGCATAATTCCAGGCCCAGGGTCCACACCATCATTCTCCCCATCTGACACCTCCAAGGGAGGGCTCTGCCTCTCTATGTCCTCCTCGTCAGAGCTGGGCTGAGGTGGAGAGAAGTACATCCGGGGCAAATAGGACACCTTTTGGAGAACAGAGTAGTAGAGGCAGAAGGCAGTGATACAGAGTAGGGCATCAAGATTAAAAAGGGAAACGTAATGAAGAGAGGCACAGAGAAAAGGGGGGAGAAAGTAAGAGGTAAGTGAAAATGTTTAGTGTAGTACTGAGTGACTTAGTTGCTGACATTTATAATAAATGCCATCCCATTAAAAACCACTTTCAGATAACAGACAACATTCACACATGTACAATGATACACCTTTACAAGAGAGAAGAATGAATAAATTAATAACATTGTGAATTAACTTTCTCATATCTTATATCCTATCCAAGTAACTCTGCCCCTCTTCCCCCATATCTCCATAAAGCTTGCTTTCTTCCTAATGAATTTCTCATCCTGGTTGTCGATCCCCAGAGTTCAATTGCTTTTCAGAACAACTTTTTCCTAACACAGACCATCTGGAGCTAAATTCAAAAGAGATGAACAGTTCTGCCCTATCATGGCTGGCTTTGGCTCTGTTGTCCTCTTCCTTTCTCCAGCATAGGACCTCCTGATGGCACAGAAACCCTATGGGGCTGCTACAAAATTTGGAGATGGGATTATACCAGTCCGTCAGTGCTCCCTCTTAAACTTCCCCCTGGAGGGGAGGAGTAGCCTTAACACTAAGAAAAAGGATATAGCATATCAGCCTGTATTCTCTTTTTCCAAATGGCTATCTGAAAATTCCCCTTTAGGGGGGAATTTCTCATCTGCAAAGCTAGCGAGCCGGTTTTTGTGTTCAATTCTCTTCTCCTTATATAGAGGTGTTGTCAGAAGCAGTGTGGAATATACCTCAGCTCTGTAAATTCTCAGCTGTGGTCTGGTTTCCTAGGGAACATGGCCAGTTGTCACGAATTATTGCATCTTCTTATTTAATAATGTGAAACAGGTCAGTCTGAGGGGCAGAGAATAAGAACCCAGTCCTTACATTAAAAAACCCAACCAACATCCCCCAAATCCAGCAGCATATTTCATGTGGCTTTCATGAAATGGGACAGATGATAGTTCTTGGAAGTGAGCTCCTTTTGTACTGCTCTCCTCCTTCACCAGGAAAGGATGTTTTGAGCCTGGTGCCCACCCAAGGGGACCTCAGACACTGGGCAGTGGGTGTTCATGAGGCACACCACTGGCCCTGTGTTGGGCGCCTTTCGGATGAGTTTTGCACCACTCCAAATGTCCCAATAAGGCGCGTGCCGAGGCTGTTTGGGGCACAGCAGCTGGCAGTTACTGAGCTGGCAGATTGGCTGCAGCCGATCTGGCAGGAAGGGCAGGATTGGGCAAGAGTGAGTGTAAGCTTCCTGTCAGATCCCCAGGAGCGAAACTTCAGCCCTCACCACAGCCACCTCCATCTTTTTACAGTTAAGAAAGCTGCAGCCTCAGGGGTAGGAAGGGAGGGAGAGGCTGTGCCGAGGGGGAAGGGGAATGAGAAGATGGGACAGTGTCCTACAGGGGAGGGGAATGGAGACTGGTGTTGTGGGACATGGGAATGGAGATGTGGGAATGAAGAAAAAGGTTGTGGAATCCTGGAGTGTTTTGGGAGGTGGTATGGGCGTAAGGAACCGCTTCTGTGGGGCTGGAGTGGGACAGTAGGAGGGGACATGGTGTCTCTCAAGCCAAGGTAGTTGCAGAGGCCAGCCTGGGGAGTTGAGCAAGCTTTCCCCATGCTGTCCTCACTTTCCTTGTCCCCACTTCCTCTGCATCTGAAACTCAGCAAGGCAAATACAGTGTCACACGGTTTTGGGGCAGAGTCACAGAGGACTGACCCGTGTGCTGTCAAGAACCAGGTTACTAACACAGTTCTGGAGAGAGGAAACTTAAGGAACTACCAGCTACTTTCCATATTCAGAAGTTTTCTCCGAGTCTGTGGCACTCCTGTGTGATTTTCCTCTCTCTAAAGTTCTTCTGACAGCTTTCCAACCTTCTCTTTCATTCTCCCTTTAGAATGAATATTTTCTTATTTTATTATTTCTGAGGCCCCTCTTGGCAGGCTAACAAAACTTTGCAAACAAATCTTGTTCATGAACAGGTTAAACTTCAAATCTGATTTCACAAAGTAATATGATATCAACAGAAAATTAAAGAAATATCTTTAATATTTGCATGTTCTTCCTTTATTGCAAAAAGTAACTCTGATATTGCAGGAAAAGCATGCTAGTTAAAAACTAGCAAATTTACAGGAGGATTAGAACTTGCTTCCTGCTTCTATCTATCACAGTTCCTTTGCCTGGGACTGTGACACACCAGAAGCTGAACTTCAGAGCATGCCAAATACTATTTGCATGAGCTATTCTAGGAATAAAAGTAAAGTAAAAAGCCAAAGATCCTCTGCTGGTAAGGAAAAGGAGGTTAGTGGTGAATTCTACAAACTAACATCTGTGTCTTAGTAGGTTGTGGGGCAGGGAGATCACAGTGCTCTTTATCCAAAGTTGTAACAAGATTAATTCCCTGCCTTTCATCCTGAAATGAAAGACCATAGCTGATTAGAATGAATGGGGATAAGCAGAAGTTCCCTCTCTTGTTTTTTGTTGTGCTTCCAAAGACATCCCTAAAGGGGCTCATTTTCATCCTTTGCCCTTGGCCATAGGTAATGGTTGGTCATTAATTATTAGCAGTTGCAATGAGCAACTGAAACAACTTGAAGCTTCCCACAGGCTGCTGTTCCATGATGCATTTTTTATATTTGTAACTTTCTGTTCCTAATTCTTTGTTTGTATCTACATCTTACATTCTATTCCTGATTTTTTGATGGCTTGCAGTTTCCTGTTGTCAGTGTTAACTTACTCATTCTACTTTTTCTCTTCTTTCTTTTTGATTAACACAGTATTAGCATACAATTTCAGTTTGCTTTCAGCAGAGAAACCCAAACTGATAAGCCCATGCGTGCGGTTTTTCTCACAAAGTTTCAGCAAGGGTACTGTTACATGCAGCGCTGTAATCTGCAAAAGCTCTTTTCTCCAACTTCAGTTCTACTCTGTCTTCTGTTTAGGACATTTTATGTACACTGGGAAACTCTTTAGCACGAGATCTCCCAGCTTTCTTATTGCTCCCAGTAATGACCTTGGGCACTGTAGGATCAAGAGTAGTTTCCACACCTCCTGTGCTTAATATCTTTGCAGTATGATGGAACACCTTATATTTTCAGCTTCAGTGAGAATTCACTGCTGCTTTGGTGACCATTGCATAGTGGAGTATCTCTTTTTTTCCACAGGGAAATGCCTGGCTTGATGTAAAATCTGAGCAAAGACAGGACAGTGTGTTTTGTCTTGTGACTTATTTACTCCCAGATAGAAGCACAAGTAGGGTGTCCTCAACCTGTGGTAGAATTGCCAGTGACTTGTCTTTGTTAGCATTTCTCATACATGTCAGGTAAAACTGCCAGGGTTCTTTGGAAATATTTAAAACTTTACTACTACTTCAAAGCTCAGAACTACTTCTTAATAGTCATGGATACCCTTGCTATGATGATACAAAGCTTCTCAGATCCAGTTCATCTGCAGAATTGTAAACCAGTTGATTCTCATTCCAAATGAAACAAAAATTTGAAATTCCAAACACCTCCACAAAATGCAGTTCTCTTTTTAGACAGTGTGGGGAGCATTATCCAGGTAAAAATAATGTTTAAAATACATTTTTCCTGAGAATGAAGAGCTTTACATGCCCTAAGAACCCGAATAACTCATTTCAGCAATCTCTTTCACTTAATAGTATGCATTCCCTAATGTATTATTTTCTTTACCATTAATTACCGTCTGAAATTCTGAGCAGGGGTTGGTAACTGTACCTGATGGTTGAGTCCGATGTGTGTGGTTGGGATTGCAGAATCCAAGACATGCATTTGCTCGATCTCCATGTGCCTATAGAGCTGCTGCAGCTGGGGAGGCTGCACACTCTGCAGTTCTGTGAAATGGTTGTCTCCAAAGGTCTCAAATTCACTGTGCATGTGGTGTGGATGATATTCCCAATAATGATCTAAAGAAAGTAAAAATAGATTGTCTGTCATTGCAAGAATAAAAGCCATGGCATTTACCTGGCTTTAATTGATTCTTACTCCTGGTCACTGCCCTTTCCAAACCACTCCTGTTGACCTGTCTGTCTTTGCTGACAATCTGTATCTGTAAAGTTTCTTTTCCTAATCTCATAAATTTGTGTGACTGGGAAGTAATATTTAGGCCACTTTAAGTAGGACAATACTCTCAGATAGTGAGATGGATTTCAATGATAATTTAACACAAGATTTAGAAGACGTTAATGCTGGCACCTTTCTCAAGAAGAGACCATTAACAAGTTTCAAAACATTGTCATTCTTGAGACAACAAATACAACTGATTTACATACTTCATATTCTTATTACACTCTTCCTCATAGCATGGAAATGAGGAGGTGGAAAAAATGTAAAGATTATTCTGCAGCTATCTTTAGTCTTTATTTTACTGTGCTATCAAAATTTCAGGAATGCTGGAGAAAAGACACTTTACTAGATATTTCCTGCTGTGTTGCTATGTCACACATTTTTAAGTACCAATACTAGAGAATAAAAGGATAAACATATGTGGAAATCTGGTATACAGAAAGGCTAAATTCTAATGCAGACTCTTTCTCTACCTCTTTTATTACTTTAGTACATTTGAAATTTCTGTGATAATTTGGATTTTTTTCAAAAATACAATAAATACTTAAATAACCGCTATCGTGTTTCCTGATTATTTATCTTTGAAATCAAATTCCGTATCATTCTCAGTTTTAGATTTCTGGCTTTTTTAGTTCAACATAAGCCTTCAAGTTTTTAGAATGTCATATTTGCTGCTCAAAATTTAAAATTTTCTATGAGAAATGTGAAGTTTTGCTAGTTCTAGTTCTATATACAATAGCTGCACGCATAATTTTGCACATATTTATGTGCAACCTCTTTTTAAAATCAGTGTCAACACTCTGTCCTCTGCTCTGAGCTTGGAACTAATCTTCCAGGGTTCACCTTTTTGTGCATCATTTTATGCATGGCTGAAATTTCTTTATGATATATATCTTACTATTCCATGTTCTCTTCCCTTCTTAAATTATTAAAAATAATTTATCCTGTCCTTCACATGTTTTAGGTTGTTGTCATGTACTCTTACAATCTAATTCTAATTATCACTAATTATATCACTAATTATGACTTAAGCTAGCTTCAGCTCTCAGTCTTTCAGTATAAATCAGTATATTCACCCCCTTATTCACACTTGTATACTTCTCCAAGCTCTCTGTCACCTGCCACCTGTTGACATCCTTCCAATAACACAATGGGCAGAACTGAACATGTTCCTCTAAATGTAGTTAAATTTATAAAGGAACAATTGTCTCGTTCTGCAGTATATATTATTATGCATGACATTATCTGGATACTAATGTGTTATGAATATTTTTCTTAAACATCAAGTTAATTCTTTTTCTCATCTCCTATCTCCTCACCCTTCCCCATTTATGTTTCAAACAACTAAGTGTAATCACACTGAGGATTTGAAATCCAGGGGAGTGACTTTGGATGTGGCTTCCTTTAGAGAGAACTCAGTGATATACCAAGCATAGTTGTACCTGGGAAGCTGTAAGCTCTTTCAGCTGTCTGTGTGCTCAGGCCTGTAGAGATTTATTTGGAGGCTCTATCAGACCCTTTATGACACCAGCACTTACTTTATTGTCCTTTCTGCTTTTCTGATTAATGAATAAACCTCATCACTGCATGTGAAAGGGGTGGAAATGTGCTTATAAAAGCATCCAGGGAGCTGCTGCATTACTCTGTCATTTCTTTGCTTTGCTGTATGGAACGTTCTATGGGCTATGTATGAATTTTATAGCCCTAAGATAATTACAATACACAGTAGCAATTCTTTGTGTTGCAGTTCAAGAGAAGAATTTCAGTTTCTAGGGTAAAAATGTGGGGTTTATGGGTGTAAGGGGCCTAGGTGTTTTTACATCCATATCTACTTCAACCCCAGAGACAGCAGAGTGTGTGAGTTGAAATCTATAATTTACCTAAGGCTGTGTCCTTGGTAGTAAGCTTTGAGCACTTTCAGTGTGAAACCTTTCCATTTAGGTGGAAGACAGATCCACACCAACTCCTGTTTTCTCTGGGTTAAATTACTGCAGATTTCTCTAAGTAGAGCCGACCACTGAGGTCCCACACACCCTGGGCAGCCCTGCATATTGAGTTGTTGAGAACACATTGCAGGAATAATCTAAATTCCTGTTCCTTAGTGCAATCTGGCTCTGCTTGCTGGGTGGAAAGTGCTCTGTCAGAGGGCAATGCATATTCCCAAGGATCCCTCGTCACTGATAATCTACAACAGCAAATGAGATCTCATTTATCCTCCAGTGCATAATTGGAAGATTGACAAAGCCAGGAAAAAGTCTCTGAGGCTCTCTTGGCCGGTCTTCAGCTGTGGAATGTCTTACTAGCAGAAAATATGGTAGCCAAGAGAGAACAAAGAACATTTCCAACACACCTAGCCGTGAGTATCTTGCACCCTCTAGGTGGTCTACTTTTGATTATTTTAAAATACTTTTTATCAGCAGTAATGTTTTTATACTTTAAGATACCTCTTAGTTTTTTGGAGCCTATGACAAGGTTACTATTGCTCCAGAATTGCTTTAACTTTTCCCTTGGCAGATTAATTAACCTATGGAACACAATTTATGCATAACCATGCTAATAACTAATTAGTAATTATCATATTAATTACTAAATTCATTTTTGATGGAATTAGATTCTGCTGTAAAAATAAAGTAATAAAATAATACTATTAGCCCAGCATATAGGATTTAAAGTAATGACATAATAGTATTACTCTACAAAAAATAATCTATGTCAGAAATTACTTCAACAAAAACTTGTGTCCAAATATTCAAGTTGTGATAGGGAATAAAGTCCTCATTCTTTCTAAAATATCTATAATTTCCCAGTAATGCTTAGGAAAAACAATATTGGTGTAGTAGCATTAGAAGAGAAATTGCAAATCTGTCTCCACAAGCCCTTCTGCAGTAAAATATCCTGGTTAAGTTAATGCACATGAAAATAAAAAGAGAAAAATTTAAATATCTGTGTCTGCAGGTTTTTGAGTTACCAGAAACTCTTTAATTCTATGCTCTTTGTTAGTGTTATGTCAGTTACATATAGCAATTTTGTTCTTTTCCCTAAAACATGAAGGTGGAAGAAAGAAAAAAGATGGGAGATAAAAATTCTAGAAATGGAAAGTGCCTGTTCTTTAGGCAAAGAAAAATGTCATCAAAAGCCAAGCTATACCTACACAAGGGAGTCATTATGAGAAACTTCATGTGAAGTGAAAGAGGATGTGAAAAAAATTCTCTCTTACAGAGACATGGAGATCATGTTTGTTTTGGTCTTGTATGTAGTGAAAGGTTAGAGGAAGGACAATCATGAATTCTGAACTCCCTCCCATGACAGAGAGGATGTTAGCCTGTTGGGAAGCAATAGCTGACCTAAAGGTATTGTCTTAATATTCACCATGGAGGTAGATTATCACTCCACAAATGAGAAAACCTGACTGAGCTTTTTCTTGCACCTTCTCATCACTGTAAATTGCTTTGCTCCCTTTTTAATAGATGAATCATGGTAGAACCAGCGTTCAGAATATGAAACAGGCTCAAGGAAGGTATTTATAATAAATGTGGAGCAATGGGCTGAATCTGCACTGTGCAGTGCAAAACTGTGCAGAAATTCATGAGCCAGCTGTCGAAGCGGAAACGCGACAGCTCTGTCAGCACAGCGCACTGCCCGGGCAGAGGAGACAGCTGCTGCCATGGGAGCTCTGGCCCAGTGTCTCTGCCTGGTTCTGCTCTGGGCTGGGCTGACTTTCCAACACATGGTGAACTACAGCAGGGTTTCTTTCTTCTGCATAGCTTGCAAGTTCCCGCTGTGTTTTGCACATCTGAAAGAACGAGCCAAGGGAAAAACCCATAGAGGAAATGGGAAAAGTATTGGAGGATCCTGGAAACTCAGTGTCTTGACAGGCACTACAGAATCACTCTTGAGAAGAATGCTGTGGTCCTGGGTAGAGTCTTATCTAAAACAATGTTAGAATTTCCTTAGCTCTCGCTTTACAAAGTTTGTGACTTTAATTACGCCAAATGTTCAAAGGCCTGTGGGTCAGGCCCCATCAAATCACAAGAACAGCTGTGAAGGGAGGGGATTTTTTAATTTTTTTAATTGAAGTTTAGAATTCTTTCTCTTTTTCATATAGTATTTAAGACTAAGGTTCACATGTTTGGACTTTCCTCTACTTCTATGTGGGCTAATAAAATCAAAGCTGAGATTCCTAAATGGCCATGTTAGGATGTGGGACAAAAATGTCCAGGATATGGGACAAAAATAAAATCCCAGATCATGAAATCTAGTAAGTTCCATGAGGCTAGCAAAGAAGTGAACAAAGGTCAGCACTCAGCTTCATACAAAAAGTGTTTTTTACTAAACCTATAATGTTTGCTAATAACATAGAGACAAAGCTGCAGTGGAATTTTGTAATTACTAAGATTGCATTGGTGTTACAAAATATGCAGTGTTACACTTACAGACTTACAAGCTCAGGGTAGGGTGATGGACTAATACATGATCACTCAAACCAGCTTCTGTCCTGCATGGCTGTGTCTCTGTGTTTATTACAGTATTTAAAACATAGTTGCACTTCAGTACAAGGCATTGTGTATTGTGTAAAATAATTGCACACAATTCTTGTGGGGATGAACATATCATGTTGTGTTTTTGCTTGTTAATTTCAGTGTTCACTTATTGGAAATTATTTCCTATATTTTATGCACTAGTGGCACAGATCTACAGATCTTTTTTGTGGACTTTACTACCTATTTGTGTAAATATGGAGTAAGGGTTTCCTTCAGTGTTATACTGGAGGAAAATGATGGTAACGCATGTAGCACAAATCTATGGATTAAGACATTGCCATCTCCCTTTCACAAAATTAATTTTCTAGCATTGAGAGAGAGGTAGTCTGACACCCCAGGAAATTTTCCTATTTCTTTCACAGTCCCTTGTCAGCAAAATCAGAAGTATTATTCTGTCTGGTGGCATCTCTTTTCATTAACTGGTAGCATGGAGGTGCATAGTGGTACTGCATAGACCTGCAAAATTATTTTTATGTATTGTCGGTGTACCCCAAGCTGAATTTCTCTCTCACAATTCTGTTCTTATTTCTTCTTTTTATCCTCCTATCTAATCAACTTCTTATCTCTTTCACTGCTGTCACTGAAGCACCTTTTTATTCCTTTCCCCCTCAATTTTCAATCATTGTGCCTTTATCCACTTTGTTCTGAACATTTAGTACCTATTTCTAAATGTACTTTGTGGCATCCTTTTCCTGATCCTCTGCATGGCTCTTCTCAAGACTCTATACTTCTGTCATGTAAACAAAATGAAAATCAAAGTTGGGTTTTTCAGTGTTTATTGGATTGTAGAAGGAAACTACAATAAACAGTGTTTATTGTAGAAGGAAACTACAATAATTTGTGGATTAGAGTCTCCATGTGTATTTCGTGGTTGTTCATTGCTCTTTTGGACTGTAAGCAATTCTGGACAGCACAGGGCACAGATATTTATACACAACCAACTACATTACTGATGCTTTCATAAATAAAAATTTGATTGAAATGTGCAAGCTGGGCTTAGGTTTCCTCTTCCATGAGCACTGTAGGAGTTAAAAATATGTTTTTGGGGTTTTTAGGACAAGTCTTTAGGACAGCTTTAGGAACAGATAAATTTCTGTTTAAAGTGCATGTTTAGGTACTGCTTAGGCTATAACCCATATAAGTCACTATCCAGTTTTTGTTGTGTTCATTATGATGAGTAAAGTCATGTTAGTGATCTAAGAAATGTAACTTAGGAACAGCCTTTCAATGGAAAAATGGGCAGTAAACCAGATGGGGTGATAAAATGATGAAAGAGAGAGATGTTTTTGCTTGAGGTAGCCTAGACTTAATGACAGAAAAGTTATTTCCCAGTGCTTTCTCCTGCTTGGCATCTTTTATATTTATTATTTAATTGTCACAATTGCCTTTCGAGATAATCAGTGTTATCTTGTTTTATGAGTGTGCAAACAGGTACGAGGTATAATGTAAAAACCCCGAATTTCCATGTGGGATTTGCTGGGTTTGATTAATGAGACTTGATAGATGCCATGAGATAACTGAATTAATTCTTTGTCTTCAGGTGTTAATAATGTCATTGGTGCTTCCTGAATGAAATGTAGAGAACAGATTTAGGTAGGAATCTCCTTCAGCCAAATGCTCAGAGCGATCTTACTCAGTAACTCACTGCGCTTTAAGATAGCTTCTGTTGCCACAGACAAAACTGTGCTGTGCAATGATTAGTTCATGTCTTAAATTGTAACAGCAATGGATCTAGTTGCTATATCAGTGGGAGTCTTTCAGGGAAACTCCAGGCCCTGCAGGGACTGCCACCAGTAATACAGCAGAACGGTGCTTTTCCTTCCTGAGTCAATATTGACTCTGGTATTTCCAGGGTGCTGTTGCTGGACCATTGTATTGCATGGGAGACAAAATTCACAGAGCAATTCTCTCGCCTCTGCATTGATTTAGAGTCCAGTGCCCAGACAGCATTAAAATATAGACACCAAAGCTTTGAAATCACATACATATATTGAAGTAATAAATAATCATACAGAAATTTACATTGAGTTATGTTTACAAACAGCTACAAGGAGGTTTTACATAGATTTAAAGAGAGGAAATACTTGGGTGTACTGAAGGAAGAGTGAAAACTATAAAGTTAGGTGTGGCAACCTGCAATAGAGATCAAAAGAAAGAGAAAAATGTATGGAGTTGAAAAAGGCTAAATACCAAGGAAACCTAATTAAAATAAAAGCAAAAATAGATTATCCAGGACCTAAGTGAAATGATAACTGGACATGAGAACACAAGAAGAGGAATACAGGGTTGCAAATCCTGGTTCTCAAAAAGTTGAGAAGCAAGCTCAATGCTTTTGATCTGCAGTGGAAAATAAAACCACAATAAAGATAATAAAGGATAGAGATCATGTGATCCCACTTTCCTGGAAACTCCTTGCATCATAGACTACTTTTTAAAATGTTCTTTCAGAGAGACCATGTAGCATTTGATGGGTTGCAACAAATAATATAATATTATATTATTAATAAAATATTTTTTGTTCCTGATTTGAAAATGTGTTTCTATACATTGTAGACCAGAGCAATAAATTTGTTATTTTCTTGTATGTCCTAAATCCATTTCCTGTGGTAGCCCATGAGACTTTATGCTCCAAGGAGATATTTTTTGACTTACCACCATGACTCTCTCCATCACTGTTGAGATACTGGTAATAGTCATGGGGCTGTCGGTAGAGGTCTGACTCATAGGGTACCATATCTTCAGAGGGCTGTAAAAAGAAGAGGAATTTTTAGAACAGTAAGTTTACACAAATCCTTTCCAAATTATTCATATAGTTAGTAAAAAGCTGATGCCAACCCATTTTATATTGCTTAGGGAAAGAAAGGGGAGACTTCAAGTTATTATTGAATCAGCTGAAATAAAATGTGTGACACCAAACACTGGTTCTGGGGAAAAAAAGAAAGAGTAATCCCAGGAGAAAGAGACCCAGCCTGCATGGCAAAACTTGTCCAGCTGTAATATAGAAATCCCTTGTATCCCACACTCCAGCCTCAGAGTTAGAGAAAGTGTCTGTCATGAGATTTTGTTAAACCTTAGTCCAGTTAAGTTTGTTACAGTATTTCCTTCCAATCCAAACAAATTCTCGCACTGTCAACAACCAGGGAGAACTCAACCACCTTCTTGCCTTTTTTTGAACAGAAATTATTTCTAGTATTTCTAGGTGTTAATAGAAACATTTTAATTCTTTTAATGACTCCATCATAACTAGCTTAGAAGGACAAATACTTAAAATAACATGATAACTTACATGATGGGTGTATTTCTTGTGTTAATATTTCATATGCCTATCTGTATTTCCCAAATCCTTTATCTCTCTCCATGAGCCTGTCACATTTTTGGATCATCTGCATTTTTAAAGTTTATGCTGTGGTGACAGCATGACAGAAATACAGGAGAGCTTCTCTTTTTCTTATTCCTCTAGACTGCATGAGAAAATGGAACCTAAGGTAGCAGCTGCCACTAAAATCCAGATGGAGGTGGTAGATAAGCAGCTAGCAAAAGGAAAGGACTTTTTTTTTTTCTGGTTTCTTTAATTCTTTTGGTTAACTTCTTTGGTTCATTCTGTTGGGATTTGGGAATTTAAAGATTGTCCCTTTCTGAAGATTAAGATGTTAGAACACATCCCCCAAAAAAATCCCAACAAAAAACTCCAGCAAAACATTTTCAGAAAGTACTTTGGAACTTGGCAAATCCTTAGTAGCAGTCACGTGTTGTATTAGTGTATGATTAAAATGCACTGGTAAGATTTCAGCACACACACTAACTGGGAGTCAGATCTATGGAATATTTAAAGCCTCAGGAGAAAATCCATCCACCTGGCTACAAGCTCCAAATATAATTGGTGGTGGTGGATAATTGCTTTGGGGAAATCTTGAGAAGATGATAACCCACAATAAAGGTTATCTAAGGGAAAGACTAAGGAGAAGAGACAAACCATCATTTAATTGCAGCCACAGCAGGAATACCAGTGACTCTCCTCTCCAGAGCTGTACTGAAGGTACACTCTCCCTTTCCAAATCTGTGTGATTACAATAAAATTGCCCTTTATTCACACAGAGATACAATGGGAAGTATAACCTGTTCTTCAGATTTCAGGGGGGTGCTCAAAGAAGACAGTACAGCATTCATTTTCTCAATGTTTCTGCTATTTCTCTTTGTATTTTCTTGGTGCTCTCTCTGCGGTTATATGTATTTACTTATAAATAATTCCTTCCACCTTTAGCGTATTCTGATCTCTGATTAGAAAAAGTAATGAGACTGTGTTTTGCTTTATTTAGGATAAAGTTCTGAATAGTTTCTCCTTTTCATTGCAAATTAGTTCATCTCACTCCCTCATTTCCTTTCCCTAAATATATGCTTCCTGTTAAATATATAAACTTATGCCTTCATATTCAGAATTTTAAATTATTATAGTTTATAGGGGAAATGCCAACATCTAAATGGAAAATGCATATCAAACTTGGCAAAAACGGAGGTAAAAAAGTCATACAACTGTACATTGTTTGAAAGAAAAATGTGTTTCTTCTCGACTAAAATACTAGAAAGTGATAGAAATTAACTATTTAGCCAAAAGTAAGCTAATTTCGAAAGAAATCAGTATCCTGTCAATCTAGGCTTAATTTGCTAAAATTTCCCCTGATACAACAAGGTATCTATCACTCATATTGTTACAGAAGTATAGCTTGGCAGGAAGGCCAAGCATCAGTCCGAAAGTAGACAAACAATACATATTTTAGGCATGGAAAAGAACATTTGGATTTTCCTAATTGCTCTTTTCTTTTGTTGTCTTTTTTCAGTATCCAAACTCCTCCACTTCAGACCAATACCCATTAACAGGCAATTGTGTCTCAGTCTGACAGCTGAGAATGAAGCTGGCAGTCTCTGTATTTTACCATTCAAAAGCTAGTTTTACAGTTCAGATGGATAATCAATGACCAGAATTAAAGGAAGGTGTGTTAAATAGACTCTTAAAACAATGATTCCCTTAATATTTACAGAGCTGGCTGACTGCAGAATGAGTAGCAGATGCTCAACATCTAAAAACGTTTTTACATAGGGCATTGGGGTACTATGAACTCTGATTTGGAAGTCTGGAGCTTAAAATCTCTTTATTATGGATTCTTGGAATTTTGGTCCTTGGATTTGTTTCCTGTCCAGTGATCCTTTTGATAAAATACGTATGTGTATATCCTTGTTAAGTCACACAACAGAACCAGTCTGTCCCCACAAAGGACTTGCAATGCCACCGCTTTCTGTCTTGGTGTCTGATCTTCAGTGGCACAGTAACTAACATGGCAAGATGTACATTACATATTTAAAAGTCTAGTTATCATAAACTTAGATGATGTGGCTAAAGGACATAAACCAGCATGTATTCCCTCTGATTATCCTGTGGGAAGGTGGGATGTTTCCCTCTATTTATTAGGAAGGCTATTTCAAATAACCTGTTTTTAATTGCTCTCTGTTTTTTGGGGGGCTAGTTTGTTGTTTTGCGTTGTTTTTTAGAAAAGTATCTTTAGAAATATTTTCTCTAATTAGAGAGGAGAGGTTTCACCATATAGGGCTGTTGCCTCTTGTGCCAGTCTTTCCCCACTTACCCTGTCCTTCTCTGGAACCTCCCCACCCACACCCATTTCATCATCTTACTGACAGCACTTCCATGACACTAAACAGTTTTGTTACTCCTGACAAAAAGCAAAGAATAGCTTACGTTTAATATTTAACTGATATCAATGGCCATTTGTTCTATCGGTTGTTTCCATGTAAAAGAGTGACTGAAAGCTTTGTTAGGATCCCTCAGCTGTGGTCATAAGTTGGTACCTCCTTTCATGCATGCCATGAGGTGCAGTACACTATCTAAGACAGTATTCTACCCTCAAGTAAGAGGTCAGCAAACAATGCTTTCTGTCACAGGCTTTGATAAATGAAGAGTGGCTTCAGTCTTCCATCTTTTCCCTGAAACTCAAGGGAACAGCCACAAAACCAGTGAGGGAAAGTTCAGTTGGTTAAGAGAGACACATTGGACTCAGCTGAATAGCAGTCTGAAAATCTTGTTACTCCCCAAGACTTTGTCAGAGGATTCCAGGAAATTGTAAAATCACTAAATGCTGATCGTTTTGTTGTCTTGATATTCACTATTCATTGGCATGTGATTAAAAAATACTTCAGACAATTTCCAGTGATGTGCTGCTGAGACAAACTTTAAGGCTGAGATTAACTATATTTCCTTGGAAAAAAATTACAGTACAACTATTTTAGAAAAGATGAGTAAAAATATTAGCATGATTACTCATTGGGCCAGCCTCACTGGACCATGTTGGCAATGCAATTACGTGGAACAGAGTACTTCTGTGGGGCATTTTTTGTTCTCATGCAAAAACACTTCATTCAAAGCTGTGATTTCTACAGGTGGCCACTTAAGGATTCATATATAACTGGAACCCTCTTCAGGCAAAGGTGTTTGACTTAATTTTTTTTCACCCATAACAAAACTGAATTCTGTCATGCATTGGAAGATACAGACCCAGTCTGCAGAATTTTTCCCCACAAAATTCCTAATCTTCAGAGGAAGGTGCAGTACTCCCAAACCATTTAAATAGTGTTTCCCAACTGAAGGATAAGAATTGCCTAGTATAGGCAAGAGAAATCAGTTACTGACCCACCCTCAACTGAACGGGGAGGGGTGGAGGAGGGAAGTGTTGCTGCAACCCCTGCCTAGAAACAGGCTCGTGTCTCCCTGCTGAAAGAGTCCCAGGAGACACAGACAGGCAGGGCTCTAGCTGGCAGCACTCAAAGTGCACTTAAAGCAGTTCTGAAAGTACAAACCACAAAATTTTTAATTTGAAAGTTTAATCACAAAAATAGAAATCAAATTTCCCTGTTGAGTGCTTCAGTAAGATGAAATTGTGTTTTCACTGCCAGTTGTATTGCTCATCTGAACACAGTTCAGATAAAATAATAACTGCAACACAAATTAGTATATGGGCCAAACTGTTAGATTTTCACTCTATTTATTCAACATATGCCCTGGAATTCAACACCTGACAACAAAAAAAAAAGACAGAAAATCCGGGTGTGAGTTAATGAATGGACAGAAAATTAACAACTGGATTTTTTGAATGGAAGTGCAGTTTTCTGGGGTAGCTAAGAACAAGGTTTGTGTTTCTTTTCAATTTTATTTTTTGTAAGCCAAACAAGTAACGTACTGAGAAATCTCTATATACACTTTTATTTTCTTGGATTCTATTCAGATTTCTATTCTGTTGCATTTACAGCAGACCCATTGGGAAATTCTGTGTATTTAAGAAAAAGACAAAATATTTTTAGGGTCTTCTCATCCTTTTGGTAGGTAGGTGATTTCAGAGACACTGATGATAAACTGAGAAAATAAATACTTCCAGTCCTCATGAATTCCAAACATGACAGGAATTCAAAGGGCCATCTTTCTGGATGGAAGATAAGAAATGTCATTAGTCTTCATTAAATGAGACAAGACAAACACAAAATTTGATAGAAGTTTTTGTTAAAAACCCTTGGATCTGCATTGTCTCTTTCTGTTCCCTGGCACATGTATAGCAATTCCTGCAAGCCATCTACCACATAAAAAGCCAAGTGAACCACCTTATCTGACACCTTCTCATCTTCTACAAACTTCATGAAATCTAAGTAAGGCCTCTTGTACCCATTCTGCTAACAGATTTCCCATTAAGGCTCGTTTCTGAACAACAGGTTAGTGACATTATTTTCTACATAACTAATAATTTTTGAACTCACCATACAATAACTTACAGCAGTGCAACAATGATTCAGAGTTAAGAAAAGGATAGACCTGCCCCATAAGCACAGAGAAAAATTTATATCTTGGAGAAAACACTGAAAAACCCAATTAAGGACCGTAGGGGTTTTTCCCCATTTGCCAATTGCTTTTTCTTAGTCAATGAATTTAAGAGAATTCAGTTCAAGAAAAGATTAAGTTAAAAACTAAAATGCCATAGTTGAAAAGAACACGCAGAGTCCTAAAATCTGCAATATACAAATCAACATTCAACAACGCTTCTCTCACAGATTAGTGCACAGATAAATGCATAAACTATGTCAGAGACTTCAGATGATTAAGAATTACAATCTGAAAAGATGGCTTTTATATCACATAGTTGGCACTGAAGAAAAGAGATTTACTGACTTGCTATAAACGTCCTGTACAAAAATACCACACATTTAATCTGTTGAAACAAATGGAGATCAAAATCAGATACAAGTTTGGGGAGGAAATGTTAATTTCCCTTTCATTGCAGTGTTGTCACTAGTTTTATATATTGACTTAAGCCAAACTTCCTGGCATTACAAATAAAGACCAAAACAGAGATATTCTCAAATAACAAAGCCTGGTTTACTTTGCCTTTTGCTACTGAACGCAATGATCAATATTACAAATAAATCCATATACTCACAGGGGGAATAAGGGGAAATCCTTCCATTGTGCAAGCTTGCAACATTCAGCCAACTTCTGAGTGAATTTTTCTTAATTCAGTTTTCAAACATCCAGAATAACTGAGTTGTAAAAAACCATATTTAAAAAAAAAAAAAAAGGTGGGAGAAAAAGGAAAAAGAAAGAAAAATGAAAGAAAAAAAAAAGAAAAAAGTGAGATCCTTGGACTCTGTGAAGTCCCTTAGCAGTGGTGGATCTCAGGGTAGGAGAACCCTAACAAGTTTTCATAGTTTGCCCTAATAGGTTCTGAGGTGGACTTCTTCCCGAGTTGTATGCGAAGTTCCTGATTTTATCAAATGTCTGTAGAAGGCAGATAGCCCTTGGGTCTATCAGCGCGCTGTGACATCACACTTTAGCCAGTTTGCATAAATCTCATTTCAGGGAGCTGTGGCGCTGTAGCAGGAAGTCTGCCCCAGCCATGGACAGGTGCTTTGCTGTATAATCAGCAGCCCAGAGCCCGGGCCTGCTATCAACAAACGAGCGGGTGGGAGCAGCCTGCTGGGGAAGGCTCTGCGCTTCCCACTGTACATGAACCACAAGGATGGTGCTGCTCTCAGGTTTAATGATATATCATAAAGACACGGTCCTGGTAACTTCTGTGAGGCCACAACAGTGGCACAGACTTGCGTTAATAATAGTCCTGTGTGGAAATTACGTGGCAATACTTAGCAGGTTGGAAAAAAGCAGTATGAAGTATCAAATACACAGCCTTAGGTTTATACAAAACACTCAATTTATGCCCATGAGACTTTCGTCATCGGCTTTGCACGAGAGTAAATTCAGTGAAAGATACTTTGTCCTCTTACTTATTTCTTGTGAACTCTTCTCTTTATAATTCCTTCATGGAGAAAGTGAGTGGGGAAAAGGATAAAGTATTACATGTCCCTCATGATGACTTCCCTCTGGTCCTGAGTGCCTTTAACAGTGAGAACAAGATTTATAGACTCTTGCTCAAAGAGTCAGGTGCAGAAATACCTTGTCCATTTTGTGTTAGCTCTGCTCACTTGATTTTCTACCCCCTCTTTATCCCACTGTTCTGCTTGCATTTGGCTGCGCTGAACAATTGCCCTTCATACGCAGGTTCTGGCAGTGGCAGAGGTGAACAGGGCAGGATGTAGGGGATGGGACCTGGCTACTCTCATTCTGCAAAATGCTTTCTTGCTTTGCAGTTAGTTACTGCAAAGTGTCTTGGAAAAGTGAAGTTTCTCTGTCTGGTTTGTTCCCCTTCAGTCAATGCCCATGTGCCACAGGTTCTGCTTTTGAAAGAAGCCTGCTCACCACTCACCTGGATCTGTGTGCAAGGGGGAATTTCAGCCACTCCAGACTTCCTCCCTTGTACACTGGTAAAACCAGAGGCCACTCACAAGTTCCTCTCATTCCCCACCCTCAGGAACTCAACGAGCAAACCATATTAATGCAGTGGGATAACATCAAGAACATGATGGGATATTAACTCTTGAAGCCTCAGACTGAATTTCATCACCATTAGTTGATACATAAGCATTTTAATTCTTCCTTAATTCGTACCATGAACTCTTGACTTCAGCCTGGGAATAAGCGAGCTGCTTAAGAGTCCACTTCTGTCTCTGAGATGGTTCTCAAGTCTCCCCCTGGATACCAGCCTGGAAGTGATCAAACCGCCTGGGGGAAAAGGAGAGAAGCAAAGTACCGCCCTGATGATAAAATTCAGTACAAACAGAGGAGAAGGGAGTGAACACACAAATCTTACAGTGGGTAATTGAATAATAGGTGATAAAAACAATTGTGGAAATTGTGTGTCTATTAACAAGGCTATTCAGAGCAAGGAAGATATGCTATCTGATTCACTGCACACTGAAAGATAGCTTTAGCAGCTTCTGCAACTATTAAAAATGTGTTTTAGACAGAGAGGCCTCTATTAAAGAGGAATGAAACTATATTCCATAGGCTGGAGGATATTTCTGCGTGGTCTTTTAGCACAGGAAATTACCTTATAAGGGCAGATATTTTGCACCAGCCTTATTGCACTCGGGGAATGCTAGATTGCCAACATTACTGACCAAGTCCAAATATACAGTAATCCTAAGTGCACCAAGGCAATCAATATAAAGGATTAAATTGATTCTTTGTATGCTGAATTAAAACTAAATTATATGCCATAAGGTTTCAAGACCAGCAGGAAGTCCAGCAATTGAATAATTTTCCCAGGAAAGAGGGTATCTCAAGAAATGGAAATGCTCAAACTGAAACAAAACACTTGTTTATCATATTTGTATAGGAACATCACTAGTAACAAACTTGCTGAACTTCAACACGGACTAGTTTGTCACAATTGCATATAACTGGTACTTTATCCTGTGTTTTTAAACACAGAATCTTCTCACCCCTAAAGCAAGGCCTACTAGAAGTGATACTTTTGCCCCAGATCCTCGCAGTGGCCTTATAAGGTGACTTACATGCAGAAAATAGATGAAATTACAAAACAGTTGTGTATTAGAGAACTGATTTCCAGAGCTATGTGACGTGAGCTGCCACTCACAGAATGCATTCTGACCTTCAAAAAGGCTTTTGAAGTAGGGTGGGGATCCTTCTCCATGATGGAATGTTGAGAACTAGAAAAAAAAAAAAGATGAGTTGAAGGATTAAGTTTTTGAAATATTATTTCTGATAACATTCAATATTCATATGAATCTTTTCCCTCTAAGCATCACCTCACTGTGCACAGTTTTTGGAAACATTTCTTCCCCTAGCTCTAGCCATTTGTTCTTTAAACTATTTCTAACCACAAACTACCAAAGCAAAAGGGTTTCATTTAGCAGCCACATCACAGAGAGGTCTCGTCACCTCAAACCTTGTTTGGTGCTTGGAAGGTAATTTTCCCCCCTCCTAAAACCACAGACAACATCACTCATTCTGTAGTCTTTTAATCAGAAACAGGTGTTTACACAGATTCTGCTTCTGAGTTTTCTGGTAAAAACAGTACCTTTAAGCAAGGGATTCCCCTGTGTGTTCCATATTCTTTACAGTACTATGTTTTAGCATGAAACTTGTTTTTATCTAGACCTAATATGGCTTGTAGGTCTTGTACACCATCCTTTAATGTCTGCTATCCATTGAGATGTCATGGGTCCCTCATGTGGAACCTGTGGGGTCTGGAGGACAGTCCTCTCTATATACCTGCTTGTTGCATGCACTGCTAGCAAGTTGAAGATATGAGTTGAAATGTATTTGTTGTATATGTTGATATGAGAGAGTAGGAGGCAGAAAATTTCTGCTGCAAATTCAGGCTGAAAAGAATTTGTTGCCTCTATTTCTCACTTGGACCTGCACCTTAGGAACTTTAACAGTCTGACCATAGACTCTCCTGAAATATGTGCTCCCATTTCTGCTGTGGCAGTATCACTCACTGGTATTCCCTTGTGATACCCACAGGTTTATTGGCATGACTGTATTTGAATAAAGATTTTTCCTCACTATGTAGTTATCCCTTCCCAGTGCTGATGCAGTTCGTACTTGCAAAAAAAGTGCTTTTGACAGTTCAGTTTCATGAGTTCCTGAGTTTTATGCAACAGCATCTGTACAAAGACTTTTGCTAGTGGGAAATGTCATTAAAACATCAGTTTTAGCTAACTTGGATATACTGGCAAAGATTTTCAAGCATAGACTAGACTGCATCCATATCAGAATGGAGAAAACCATTTTCATTTGGAGGAAGAGAAAACTTCATGGATATTTTAAGAACTATTATGATATGCAATCAGTTACAGAAAGGAAAAACATTTATTTTTTCATTTGACTAGTAACTTTTAAACTCTCCATTAAGCAGAATTCAGCAAAGAAGAAAATCTTTCTTTGGCAATTTATATGGCTTTAAGATCTGTTTACATGTCAGCTACATTTTATTATTTTCTGTATCTGAGAAAACTTATTTAGGTTTTAAGGCATTTTCAAATAACAATAAGATTTTATGTGATTTTTAATGATCTTCTGCATTCTTTGGGAAACAGATTTTCAGTTTACACATTTCTTCTCGCTTATTGTCATCCAATTTCTCAAAACCTTTGTATCATTTCAAGCAATTATCATGGAAGAGTGCTTTAACACCACCTACTTTTGAAGTCTACATCCAGTGTACATCCTACCTACAGTCAGCAGTACCAAAAAGTTGAAGGTAGCATTGTCTATCATCCCTTCATAAAGAACCTACAGTCCAATGGAGGTTACCTTCCCTCTCACCTCCACACCACTTCTCCCCACCCCCCAAAAAATCAGATATTTTAATGGTAAAAGTTAAATTATAAGGTTAAGGTGAATCTGTGATTTGGCTTGAGAGGAATATATTTGTAGAGAAAAGTACTTGCTGTGGATGGAGGCTCAATACACCCAGTATTTCTTTTGACAAGGTGTCACTTCAGACTGATTCTAGTCTGATGCCATGGAATTCCCATTTGCCGCTGGAGACCTGAGCTACATCTTCAGTTATCAGAAAAGAATCCAGTTTATGCCTTCTAATACCCTTGTGTGGTGCAGTCTAGTGAGTGGGAAGGATCAGGATATTGATTTTAGTGGTGCTCTTTCAATCTGAACTGTATTGTTGATCCACATTTACCATTGAAGAGGATTCTTACCCTGAGTCTGTAGTGACCTCTGCCAGGCTGTGTCAGAGATATCTTTGCTATGTGGAGCTTGATTTGGATATTTAGGCAGCAGTTCTTTCCTAAGAGCTCAGCTGTATAGTAGTCTTGCTCTCCTAGAGAAAATAATACTTTCCAGACTTGCATCTTATTAGGATTATACCTCCTAGCAATCTCTCAGAATTCTAAAGAGAACAACATTAGTCACAAATAAACGTGCTTAGGTAGCTGGTGGGTTTGTAGCTGTGCTTTTGGCTTTCTGCCACCAATTTGACTAGGACTTTGTGCTTGGAATGTTGCACAGACAGAGGAACTAAAGTACTGGGAGAGTGCTCTGCTTACATCCTCCTCATGGACATTTGGTTACATAAGAGCTGAAGCATGTATGCAAGCCCTAGGTCACAGCTTTTTGTGTGTGACTAGGCAGGTGTGTATGACACACTCAGGAATATATTATCTGTAGAAACCTTTTACAAATTAGAAAAAATGTCTTTTGATTAATTACAATTCATTCTTTTGTAACTTCAAACCATCTTTACTAAGTAAGTCACATGCAGTTAGATTATTCAGTCTTCATTTTTATGTTTTTGCCGGTAATTTTTTTCAGGTGTCTTGAAATCTGCAGGGTTTGGAAAAAACCTGAAATCCTTACCTAATCTAGTAGAAAAGATTAACAGCCTAGAAATAAGTATATCCATCTTAAGCTCTACCT